TTTTAGATGACGACACAGCTTGCTTCAAGTTTTGGACGATTCAAAATGATCACGTGTTACAAAATCCATCGATCCCATTGGCAGAGAGGTGGCCAACGCCCACTTAGGACCTACCCTGGGGGTTTTATGTTTGACGGTTAAGTTATAGAATCGCTTTTACCAGTGTAAAATTCAAGATGGCGGTTAGTCGCAACTGTTACTATAAATATGGAAAGAAATGGACTCAGCAGACCATAAATTCATGTTTATTCATCACAAGCTTATTTGACTAGCAATAAAAATTCAAGTAAGTAAATCTAGTGTGTTATTTTGTGCATGAACAAGAATTTCTCACAACTCAAAACAAGGAGTCTCCTAAAGCCCGTGCATGAACATAACATTTTAGATATTTTAAAGATGCTTTTTTAGATATTTTTATTTTTTTCCATTTCCTTTCATGCATTTCTAATTTTCCTTTTGAAACTGCTATTCGTTTTTCAATTATTTCAATTTGAAATAAAGTGTTTTTGAAGACTTGGAGTGAGGGTGGTGCCTTTTTTTCTCTGTATTTGTATAATAATAATTTGTATACCAAGATAACCATATTTACGAACATGTTTTCTACGCCTAAGATGATGTCTATGTATGTTAAGTTTGGTAGTAAGATATTGAAATTTTTAAGACAATTTCTTATTTGAATTGGAGATCTGGGTTCGAGCAGTCGAATGAGATGGACGYGTCCAAATTAGCTCCTCAGCTAAAAATATCTAATTTCAATTTCGCTAAGACAAAAATCACAAGTACAAGAAGTGACTCAAGAGTTACAAGAACTTAAAGATAAGTTACAGCAATCATCCAAGGATTCTAGCAGTCAAGAAAAAGTCGACGAAATAGACAAAAGTATCACCTTTCTTGCTGAAGAATATGACAATTTGAAATCATTTAAAGTGGACATCGAGAGAGAGTTAACAAGAATATCGTCTAGACTTACATGTCTTGAAGAAAGCATCAACAAAGTCGACGAAGCAATTCACGCCATAAATAACTACAGCTACATGTATCAGTACAACCTGAAGATTATCAGAATACCTCAAACCAACCGCTTTGAAACCACCCAAGAAACAACMGATAAATGTTTGAAACTCTTTAATTCAATCAACACTCAAGTTACAGCACAAGATATCGACATCGCACACAGTGTGCCAAACCGTAGAGCTTCGAACTTCCCGCCAACGATTATATGTAAATTCACCAGACGCCTTGCTAAAGAATCTGTCATGACATCTAGGAAAGAAATAAGTAATATTGAATGCGAGAATGCGGACAAGATCAGAATTTTTTATCATCTTAGTCCTAAAACCCAGGATGTTCAACAAGGCTAAAGAATTCCAAAAGGAGCACAAGTTTACATTCTGCTGGACAAGAAACTCGACTATATTATTAAAAGAAACTGAAGATTCCACAGTCATCYGAGTAACAGGAATGGATACCCTTGAAACTCTCAAAGCCAAGATCAACCGAGAAGGACATGGAAGTCAAAGCCAATCTACAAACACATGGCAGAGAATTTGGCCCCCTCCAGATTCCAACGCTGATAGTCGGCCAAATACAACGTCAACTCGGGMAGCAAATCATCAAGATGGCTAAGATAAGTATATCAATAATCAAATAACTAATAATCTAAAATAACTATGAACAGTATTAAGGACTTTATAATCATCGAGAGACTGGGCGACTTTTAAAGTTTTCTTTATCCGTATCTCTTAATTAAGATCTTTATTTTGATTTTGCATATTACTATAAAGATAAATTGTTGCGTCGAAATCAATATGCAAATTCAGAGTTTATGCTGTTTTTTTTTGTATGTGTGTTTTATCACGTTCGAATTTCAAATACTATCATTAAACGCAAAGGGCCTAGGGGAATATAAGAAATCTATTAAAATTTTTGATTGGCTGTATAAACATGGGAGTGACAAATTCGGAGTGTCTTTTTTGCAAGAGACCCATAGTAYGAAAGATGTTATGGAACAATGGTCAAAAAGAGCAAAAGGTTCTTTATTCTTTTCTCATGGTACTTCTTGAAGCAGAGGAGTGGCAATACTTATAGGACATAAACTTAATCACAAAATCAAGGATGTTTTAATGACCCAGGGGGTCGATATGTAATTATTTCAGTCGAGATTGACGGAGCTTTTTTTCTACTTATCAATTCATACAGTACCGGTCTCGAGTAAAGTACCATCCACTCGCTCTATACTCGAGAGTGCGATTATCGAGTGACCATCGTTACTTGCGAGTCATGCATAACAAATTATTCATAAAAGCGAGTGTAATCGAGTGGCTTCCACTCGAAAGACTTTCGAGTGTCGAGTGTAGTTTTACAAACAATTTCTGTTGAAGTGAACGATTAATGAAAAGTCAAAATTTAAATTCTAATCGGTCGCTTTTATATTGATCGGCAAGATCGTACGTCGGCAAGATGTCAATTCAATGTCATATAAATTTAGGTTACACGACAATGTCACGCCATCTCGTCATACTGTCTCGTCATTCCTCTGTCTAGGAAGTGTTAAAGCACCTTGGGAAGCTTATTTGTTCTGTTTTCTTCCACAATTCAGTATTTTTTGTTATTATCAAAGCATATTTTATCAATTTCTGCAATATATCGCAATATAACAACCTGTGATTAACTTTTCTAAAATTGAAGCATGAGAAACAGCTTTTATCTCTTACTGTTATCATGATCGTAGCTGATTAAAATATTTAGTTGTTTTGGCGACTAGCCAAAAGAGAACAAATTTGTTCGAACACTTATCCTGACAAAATTCTGATTAAACCTACTTCAGCTTTATGAAGGATAGTATAAACCTTAGTAGCTTAAAGAATCTTGTAAAAACAGTACGATTCGGTTGTTTTAAGTTTTGATAGAATAATTTAAAGTAGATGAAACAGGTTCAAAAAGCCATGTTGACCTGAGCGGCATGGGAAAGGCGAGATTAGTCTCAAAACACGCTTGGGAATATCTTTGTGTAGATTCACAGTTTGCTTTTGTTTAGTATGGTTTCTTATTCGTTCACTTTCGCAGTAACAGGTAATCATTAAAGGCCAGTTCATTTTTGCTTACAAGTGAAGCATACTAATAACCAAAGCAAAATTGTCATAGCCGCAATCAAACTATTTTGTAAACTTTCGTGTGAATTTGATTCCGTAATTTAAGTTCGAAGCGCTCCACTCGAAACACTCTAGAGTCTCGAGTAAAGAGTGAAAGCGAGTGGCATTGTTTTCGCTGCCTCATTAACTGTCATTGTTTCACTCTATACTCGAGACTCGCGGTCCGTATCGAGTTCGAGTACTCGAGAATGGATGGTACTTTACTCGAGACCGGTACTGTAT